TTGCCTCATCAAACCTCATCCACTGAAATTCTTCGTTCTTGGTTTCCCAATCCGGTTGTGAAAATGAGAAGCAAACAAAATATCCCAAATCGCACGGCATCTATAGGTAACCGAGTGGTCAATAATGATTTCAAACCCTTTCAGTTTGTTATCACTCCTGTTCAAGGGGTCTAACACAACCAAACACCCAGAGGAAAGCAGTATGGAAAAAGCTAAATACAGGACTGAAAAAGATTCTCCACTCATCTACTCAGTCAATACTATCTGCCTTCTGACGCATTTATAAAGAATATGACTTACTATAATCTTCATGAATTAATTCTCCAGGCTGATGGAACGCAAACATGGAGGCCGGGTGTGATTCCGTAATATTCACTGGCTGCAGATTTGGTTGAGACGATTCAGGATTCAACTGGGCTGTATGGTCAACGGTCGGACACGAGGGTGGACGGTTGATCCAACGAAGCAACCGTACCTCACGATCCTGATATGTGCTTCTTGCCGCGCCAACCACTCCCGAGCGGTAAGTATGAGCTGTGTTGGAATTCCGCGGTACCGACTGTCGGAATCCGGTAATTCCGGTCTCTGAATCGTGTGCCTCACAGTCCGGATTCAGCTCTTCTCCTTCGGTTGCGGTCAATTCTTCCCACTCGTCTGATTCAAAGACCATCTGCAGGCCATCTCGAAATCGTGGAAGTCGCGATGTTTCATCCAGGCAGCGACTTGTCCAGGGAGGCTGAGAGTAATCATTAGGGGTTCAAATAAAAGCTGTCCAATCTATAACGACGAAAATAAATGCACCTATTCAAATGGCCACTAGCCGATTGTTATCTGGATCCGTTTGATCGGAAAAACTTCATGGAGAAATTGATACTTCCCATCTGTCGTGTTTGACCACCATGAACTGGTACCGCACGAATTTTTGAACTAATCGGTCGTCTAGACAGAACGAAAACATTGATAAACGAAAACCTGCATCCATTTCCGTTTGTCACCGCTTGGAAAAATTCTCCTTACAGAACACAGCAAACGTCTGTCAACTGTATTGTGACGAATAGGACTGACCAATAATAAGTCCATCTTTCCTTTTTCACATTCCTAACAACGCTCTCTAAAGAGGAGGCAAATGAACCAAACTGCTGGCCACTGGCCTGTACGGAGCAACTTAAATACCTTGCCGGTTGTACTTGGATATGCGAAGAACAGAGATACGAGGAGAAATAAACAGACCAAACCGTGCTGGGGATACCGCACCGTGATAGTGTTCATGAGTCATTGGCAGAGGAGACTTAGTTTTAGCCGAATAGTCGAGAAAACGAAAAATAAGGTGTCAACCGTAGCATTTCATTTTGATATATGCAAAAGACAAGTGTGAGCAGTCATCTTAAGCATGAGAGTGAGGAATTCAAGGCAGTATAGACAAAAAAACCTCGAGCAGATCGACCTTATCTGAAAAAGCTGTAAACGAGAAATAATAAATGGAGGATACTAGCACTACAGGATGGGTGAGCGAGTGTGAGAGGAGGAGACTCGTGTTTCCAGGAGTGTTTTCATTTTGACGTTCAGATTGAAACTCTGCGAATCCGAGGGACTTCGATTAAACACTGATGAACCGTTGGACGGGCAAACTAAAATCGGTCGAGTTTCAACGATATTCAGAACAAGTTTCCCTACTGAGTGACAATACGTACATTCAATGTAGACTTAGAGAGAAAGGTGGGAACTAAACCAATAAACCCATTGATTTGGTTGTGGTCTACTGAATGTATGTCTGAGAACTACTCAAAGTGGGCAAGCGTTATGTACACGAAGACATTCAAATACACTCTTCATTAGGATGGTAATTCACATTTCCGTACTACTCCATGTTACACATAAGTTGCACACCTCAAGACAACCATACGAAAAACTTCGCGCAACCACCAGAACAGGAACACTACTATATGTGTTTTGCGGTGTTCTTTTTTATGATAACCTTGATTACTAACAAACATTTGACGTCACATCATCGTGAGCATATCAAATGTACACGTACAAAATTGCTAGATCCGTGATTTGGTCTCATTCCGATAAACCCGAGTAAGTAACCAAGCGAGATGAGATTTATCTTATAACTTGAGCTTGCATACAATGATGGTGTGCTAATCTCGGATGAAATGTTCTCATTTGATGTCAGGCCAAATTTGGAAATATTTTAAGCCGATACACACCATCCGGCTGTCTGTGAAGGGTGGAGTATATGCTGCAGCAGTTCGACCACTGCTGCTCTACGGTGCAGACACTTGGCCATTAAGGAAGCAGGATACAAATAGATTGCCGGTGTACGAACACCGCTGTCTACGTCGCATGCACAAGACTGGTGGGGTCACCGGACTGGCAGTGCTGAGGTTAGGCGTAGAGTTTTAGGTAGTCGCGGGCGTCTACTGTAGCAAGTAGTCTACCTGCATAGATGGCCTTGATTGGGACATATGTTAGGCATGTCACCAGATAGGTTGCTACGGCGAGCGATGTTTGTCGAGGCAGGTAGCGGTTAGAAAAAGATCAAGGGCCGTTAAACGAAGACCTGGCAGGGGGTATGAAAACACTAACCAGAGAACTGGGTCACATAGGTCCCGTTAGGCTCCCTGACTGGAGACCCCGAGATTACGGTCACCAATGGACAGAGACACTGAACGATACGGCTGGGTGTCGCAAACAATGGCGCTCATGCATCTACTTATTATTCTCCTAACACCAGTCTATATGAATTCCTTATCTTACGCGTGAATTTGGTTTCAACATTCCAATCTTCATCTTTCTTTTTATCCAAATTGGTGATCAAAGACAGCAACCAAAACCGGCGCACGAAAGTGCATGGTTAATGGTTGTACAAAGTGAACTGAACTGAAAAGATAAACATGACCTAACGATACTCGAACGCCGCTGAACAAGGAAAACATTAAAGTTAGCCAGACAGTTGAACAAAAGAGCAAGCGCTTGGCCTAAATGGATTGTAAGCGCTGAGGGAATGTGTGTGCATTGAATGGTCTAATTGGATGCTTCGGGCTTGCCGAGTCAGTGTTCGGATGAGAACCAAGGACAGAGTGCGAAATTTTGCGAATCGTTGAGATTTCGGTATGGAAGAAAAATTGTGTATCAGAAAGCAACGACTATGTCTGATACACATATCAAATGGTGAAAGAAGAGGGATTTCCAGAGAAAACGAACTATACATCACCAGGACGGAAAAATGATTTGAGCCACGTTATATTCATTCGGTTAAACGATCACACACGTACGAAGCAAAGACGTAATCTAGTACAAAGCGATGAGAAAAGGTGATTTATGAGCGTCCTGAAAATCCCTAACAGTAGCAATAAAATCGGCTATGAGAGAGTGAGTAGGAACGCACCCGATGCAGCGCACAAGGTCCACGAGTGAACTGCTGGAGACGAGCCAGACCAATTTGTCCATTGGCTATGGACAATCGCATGCCACGCTTCCACAAAGTCCATTCAATCGAATCTTTGACCAGTTCAGATTGATCGGTGGAATCGGATGTGTCCGAAGTTGTCATCGGGGTCGCATTCAATGTCCCCAGAGGATAGATCTGACTGAGAACGGTAGGGAGATGATGGTAATATAGGCAATTCCAAAGTGGTCTGTTGTGTCCGATGCGGACAGTTTTGTGCAAATACAGACAATAAGGTGATGAACTGAACACACAAACACTGCACTAAAGCTGGATAGGCCAAATGTGGAAAAGTCTGTCGAAACAGATATCGTTGCGCGCAGTTAGCATGCAC